GTGTTTTTCATCTACTCAAGAATTTTTGGGGGCTCTGCTGGAACAGTTAAGACTATAGATTACATTGGATTAGTGAAAGTCAATGAATTTAAAAATAATTGAAACACCATTATTACCAAGACTTATCAGCAGGACCAACTATGTGAGGATTGTATTCTACCTGTCCAAATACTAATTATACTTCATATTTTTCATCCTTGATATGGCTTTTCAACTTCTGGAAATGCTCCCCAAGTTAAATATTCAATAGAAACTGTGTGTGATTTTAAACACTAATACATCAGAAGCACCTGCAAGGGCAGAGGGAGTGGGGAGGCAGGTGTCTGGATGGGAGAAAATAAAAAGAATGTGGTGGTTCTGTCCTATGTTGTACAAAAATATATAAAACAAAAGTATGTACAAAAATATAAATAGCAGGCTGGGGGAGGGGGGAGTTTAATGTCAATCCCATTTTCCCATTAAAACTGTAGACAGGTCGTTTGGTAACTGCAACTGAGGCTTCTGTAATATTAGTCCCATTACTGACTTTCTTTGTTCTCTATATAATTACCTCTCTTTAAGTTTTAAAAAGTGAGGTAGAATCTCCCTCAACAATCCTTTTTTCTCACAGTTTGTATGATCCTGCCAGTCACCAAAGAATCCATACACAGGTGATTCACTAACTCTCATTCATCTTTTACAGATGATTACTTCCCTGAAATGAGTAGGAAGAGACTCATCTGAGATGCCACAGTTATTCCTTCTTAGCAGAACACAGAAAATAACAGTAAAATCAGCAATAGTTCTGTATATCCATAAAACCCGAGATGCATAAATCAGAGTTTTAAATCTCAATCTACTTTCCATGTCTCCAGGGAAGGAGAAATCACAGATAACCAGCCTAGATTTCTTCTGTGTTATTTGCACTGCAAACAGCCAGAACAAGTCAGCACACAGAATTAAGCTGACGGAAGTAAAATTTTGGCAATGGACAGAAAGAGTAGGATAAAAGCTAGAAATGAGTCAGAGATGACCCTAAGATAACAAGCAGTGTTTATAATTCTTATAAATTCCTCTCAAATGACAAGATTTTTGTTGGTCTCATAGTGACCTTGTGAATCTCCAGCTCTCTTAGGAATTTCTGTCTGTTTAGTAGAAGTCCCATCTTCCAAATAGCCCCTACATTATGAGATGAGTGAGGGGCCAGGAGACAGAGCTTAGGAGGGAACTGTTCAGGGCAGGAGATGCAGAAATCAGGCAGAATGTGGAACTGTGTGGAACAAAATTATACAGCTCATTTTGGAGTTAGGGCAACAGGTGTGACTGCTGAGAAATGAGAGCTCTGGAAGTTTCAGAGGATGATAACTGCAAGGCATACTGGATACTGGACCTCACACATGCTGGGGATGGGGAAAGGCACAGTTCATTAGATGCACAAACATATTTTTCTTAAAAATATCATCACTGATTGGCATCACAGTTCATATATATAAGTGCAAAAATGCTGGATTTGAGTATGAGGAGAAAAGTGATTGCCAGTGGTTTGAGAGAATTTATTCCAGGAAGATGTGTTTTTTAATTCAGACCTGGTAAAACACCCGGGTAGCAGCCTAAAGATAAAATGAGAAGAGATGAGAGTACTATATGCATGAAAGTGATCTCCATAGGAATTAAACCTTTTTAAATCATCCACATGACATTAACCACAGTCATCCTTTGCAAGACCAAACATGCTGTTAAACATGACAAAACATTAGTTCAAAAAAGAAAAATTATAAAAAGTCCAGCAAAAAAACATATTTTGTGAAGGGGATTTTAAGGTTGCTGAATCATGGTTGTATAGTTTTTCTTGTTTTACACTCTATATGAGGCAACATCTCTACTGCACCCAAATGATCAATAAGAAAAAATACTGAGACAGTGCATTAGACAAAGAGACTGTAAGAACATCGGATGAGAACTTTTTTGCAAAAGTTGTGGGTAAGTTTTAGAATTTTTTAGTTAACTGCCTAAAAGGCCCCAGTGACATATAAGGTATTCTCCATGCATTCTGCAATTCTCTGTGTGCTGAACATCTGAAATGTCATATTTGCTGTTAAACAGATGTCTGCCCATTGGAGTGGATTTCTAACAACAGGCAGTGGACTGGATTGCAAATGTACAGAAGATGCAACTTCTGCCTAGCAGCATAAACTCACCTTACTCTCTATTTCCAAATTAGGGAGCTAACAGTAACCACAGTACCTCACTAGTGCTGTGCAATTCCCATGGCCTCAGAAGGGAATTGGGAGATGAAGTCCATCATGGGAGGCTTCTTCCTTCTTCATGTAAGCCCCCGTAGATTTGGAGCTAGCAAATAAGACAGCATAAGTATGGGTGGTCTCTGCTACCCAGGTAACTCAAGAGTTGTGATCTTGAGGCCAGTGGAGAATAACAAGTCTTTGTTCAATCTCAAAGTGAATAAATAAAAGACTGGAAGAAATTAAATTAAAAATTAGAAGAAGAGGAGCCATGAACAATGACTGCAACCTTTCAGCATGAAGATAATGTAAGTGAAGAACGAAAGCAGAGCAGCAATTTATGTTGTATGGAGTGATCACAGCCCACTTGTGTTGACAGAGAAAGAAACCAGTGAAAGGGACTGGGAAGTTTAGGCTGGAAGAAACTCAGTGCTTCCATAGATGGATACATTTGGAGGGAAGAAAGTGCATGAATTTCCAGTTTCAGTTCTAAAATCAAAAGAAGAAAGGGGCTGGAAAAGAGGAGGAAGACATGCACAGTATTATCCACTTGTTTTTTTCTAGGATGCTGGTATGATCTTGTGAAGAGAGAAGAGAGTGAAGAGGAAAGGAAGAGGAAAGAAGCTACCAAAGAGTTGGCATCCTCTGCAAAAATGTTAGGTCAGAAAGTCGGGAGGACTGTAGACTACAAGGCATTACCTTCATAAGGCATAAAGTCCTCTTACTATATTTTTCCAAAACATCACTTGACAAATCCCTGGCATTTGACAAGCCCGCTAGCATCTTTAAGGTTTAGTCAATTTTATCTGCCTATTGTGGCTTCAGTGTACCTTGCCCCTGGCGTAGGGTAGCAGGGAACCAAACCCTAGGAATTAAGCTGATAACCAAGTGCGTGTTATGCTGCCTAATGCCCGCCGCCAGCACCCGCGGAAGACCCGGCCCGGCCCGGCCCGGCGGGACCCGTGGGACCGAAAGGACCGCCCCGGGGGAAGCCTCTGGGCCGCGGGGCGGGCGCCGCGCTCAGCCCTAAGTTTTTGCCGTGCGGTAACTCCGGGACCACCGCTATCTCCTCCGCCGGGAGAGCGGAGCAGAAACGCCCGTGTAACCCGTAAGCAGCGACGGAAGGGGCGAGCCTCCCGCCGCGGGTGCGATGCTGACAGCCCGGCCAGCCCCCGCGGAAGGGCAGCGGGAGCAGCACCACGGACACTGCCTCGGCCTCCCGGCCGCGCCGCGGGGCCGGGGCCGAGCCTGCAGCGGCGGCCGCGCTCCGGCGGCGGGGCAGGGCCGTCCCCACGGGGCGCGGGTGCGTCGGAAAGCGAGAAAAGGGGGCTCTTCCCGACTCTCGTCTCAGCCGTGACCCCGAACAACCTGTGTTTACACAGGGCGACTCCCGGGCTCCCAAGTTTAGCGCTCAGACAAAATTTATTGCGGCTGTTCCAGGGAGGGAAGAGCTCTGATGCTTGCGGCAGCGGCGGCGAAAGGGACCGGAGGGAGAGGACAGGCGGGAGAAGCGAGCGGCACCGCGGCTGTCATCGGATGGTTTTACTAGCCGACAGTTTGGCAGAAACTTTCCCACGCCGCTCCTTTCATTTGAAACAAGCGTTTAGCCGAAAATAGCGTAATATCTCAGGGATTCATCACCTAATGAGACATGAGCCGCGTCCTCGGTCACAGAGACCCGTCAGTCCTCCCGGTGCTTGGCGAGCAACAACCTTGGCCCCAGTGATGCTCTTTCTGTCCCCAGGTGTCCTGCTGTCCTTGTCCTCGGTGGAGCGCGGTGTCTTTCCGCTTCTCTCCCGACAACCCCCTATTTTGGGCGTTCGCATATTATTTTGGGTTTCTCTGCTAGGGCGACCTGCGGCTGTGACGATGTCAGCCCGGCGGAGAGGGGAAGGGGGGGGCGAACGGTTGAGTGGGAGTGACAGACACGGACCTCACGGTGCCACTGAGCTGGTGTCATATGCCTTTCAACCTGAAGGCTGTGATTTATTCCCATCCACCCACCACCCCCCCCCCCCCCTC